TCAATCTCTTTTTGCCCAAGTTTCAGTATTCTGTCCAATAATCCATGTCGAATCATTTACAAAACAATCAAAAACAATACAGGTATAAATCTAAGAATGAATGAATTTTCTTCGTTTGCTAATACAATTTTTAATCTTCAGCCAAATTCAAAACTTATCATCAAATTTAATATCGGAAACAAATTACAATCTAAATTACAATCCAAATGATGATACAGAANCTCCAAGTTCGACTTCAACTTATAAAATTTTTCTAAGCCAAAGTCGGACTTGGAAAATTATCATTATTTGTTTGATGTCCGAGAATACATAACAATTGGCTGTTCTGTTATAAGTCCCTTTTCCGCTTATGTTCTTTATGGCCATTAATCAATCTGTTTTGAATGGGTGATATCTTTAATTTTTATGCCATTAAGTAAGTAAAAATGCTATGTTGTTCACAATATTCAATCTCTTTTTGCCCAAGTTTCAGTATTCTGTCCAATAATCCATGTCGAATCATTTACAAAACAATCAAAAACAATACAGGTATAAATCTAAGAATGAATGAATTTTCTTCGTTTGCTAATACAATTTTTAATCTTCAGCCAAATTCAAAACTTATCATCAAATTTAATATCGGAAACAAATTACAATCTAAATTACAATCCAAATGATGATACAGAAAGCTTTTCTGACTGATAATGGATTCAACTCATTGTTTGCAATAATCGGAAAAAGTGGTCAAGGAATCGGGACAAATGCATTAAGATGGGCATGAAATTGTCTATAATCAAAAAGAATATGAACAATTCACTCGATTGATTGAAACGATATTTGAAAATATTTGGCTACAGAAAAAGCTAACATTTTGTGAGCGTTGGATTTAGATGATATTGAGAGCCAATGTTGAATCGAAAAGTCAATTTTGTTAATTACTGTATTTTTTNTCTTCAGCCAAATTCAAAACTTATCATCAAATTTTATATCGGAAACAAATTACAATCCAAATGATGATACAGAAAGCTTTTCTGACTGATAATGGATTCAACTCATTGTTTGCAATAATCGGAAAAAGTGGTCAAGGAATCGGGACAAATGCATTAAGATGGGCATGAAATTGTCTATAATCAAAAAGAATATGAACTATTCACTTGATTGATTGAAACGATATTTGAAAATATTTGGCTACAGAAGAAGCTAACATTTTGTGAGCGTTGGATTTAGATGATATTGAGAGCCAATGTTGAATCGAAAAGTCAATTTTGTTAATTACTGTATTTTTTGAATTGTACAATTTTATTATGATTTTTTTGATTTAAAAATAAAAATTGATATTCTTAACCGATCAATTAGCTTGAATAATTAATTAAGAATCAAGGGATTTNAAACTCTTAAAAAACAGTTTTAA